CTGTTTGTCAGAGGCTGGAGAGGGATGGCAGGAGACAAATCACTTGATCATTGTCTTCGGTCCACCCTCTCTGGGGCACCTGGTGCTGGCCACTGTCAGCAGACAGGATACTGTGCTAGATGGACCTTTGGTCTGACCCAGTACGGCCGTTCTTATGTTCTCACTCAAGATACCAACTTTTCCCACGAAATTTTTTTTTAAATAACGAAATGTAAAATGAATGGCTCTGTTCCCTCCCTTGTGCAGGTTCATGGCGTTACACTGGGGGTGAATTTAGCTGAGTCTTTTAACACTCCACACATCAGCATGATGCTACAAGTGTCTGCCGTCCTGTCCCTAGCAGTGAATCTTGGATAAACAGGGATTTTGATTAACATCCACTTGGTTTTTTGTTTTTTGGTTGCTGCTGTTTTTTGTTTCATTCCAGAGTCTCTAGAGCAACAAGAAGGAGACTTTAATGAGCAACTGTGCACTTTGTCAGCAGATGGGAGTGATCTTGGGGCTTTATTTGCTCTCCCAGAATCTTCTGTACAGATTGAGACTGCTGCAATTGCCTTGGTAATTATAATTGGTTTAATGACTCCGGACCTGGTCTTCCATCTCAGGGAATCTGGATGCTGTAGATGCTTAGCAATGATGGATTAGGGACCCTGCATGGGAGACATGGTATGGGGAAGAAGGACTGAAAAAAAGAACAGACTACCTTAAAGAACACTCCCTCTGAGAAGGAGGTGAAGGCCTAGACCAGTTCCCATGGAATCTGTCCAGTTTGCTCGTCTCCAGTTCCATCATATCAGGTGAGTTAGCTTCTGGCCCATACATTCCCTCCCAGCGGGGCAAGAGATGTGGCAGAAGCTGCAAGAAACTCTTGTTACCTGGCTATGCTCCATTCAGGTTCAATGCGCTGCACTCTTGGGTCATCAATGTATTCAAATTGCAGGGTGCTCTCTAACTGTGCCCGGTCCACACTCACAGAGACGGGGACGAGGCCCAGGCCATGTGCTGATGGAGCAGAGACACACACAATCTCACTCATGGACCTCCTGTTGCAAAGAGAAACAGGAGAGCCTTTAGCTGGAGAGCGTCCACGCTACGGGTACCGGAAACCTCTTACATGTCCATAGTGCCTCTCCCCCAAGGTAGGCATGACAACCATTGCAATTATGACTCCTACCACAAATGCAGCCACTTCTGGGGTGGGATGTGGCAGCTGGGAATAGCCTGATAGCAACGCTACCCAATGTGCTTTCCAAGTGGAAACTTGCAGGGAAAACACAGGGAGGCAGATGCTCCTGACACTGAGAATTTATTAACACCACAGAGGAGCAATGAGGGCTCCATGCAAGCGGAGACCCCCTCCTGACTATCCAAAGAGAACAGCAGACTCTCAGAAATTACTTTCTCTGCCACACTGCAGCCTCTTGCCTCCCTCTGTGAACCTCCTGCCTTCTGCTGGGCACGTGAAAGCAGATGGCTGTTTTCCAAGTGAGATTTGTATGCTTACTCAAAGGCTACATCCTTTTCTTCCCCCATGGCACACATGGACCGTGAAAAGCAGCCAGTTTCAACCTGAGAAGAGCTGGGCAGAACGGGAACAGTTTCAGTATCATCGCTCTCTTTGCAGTTTCGTTTTCTTGTCCCCCTTGTGGAAGTGGAAATGAACCTCAGGACTTTCTGTCTGGTGTTTGGACAGATCAAACCATCTGCTTCTCTAAGAGCCCCCCCAAAAAACAGCTATGTGGGCTGCTTAGCAGCATGCCTACAAAAGCACACAGGGATCAGTTAGCGGTGAGAGTTGGGGAATGAGAGCCAGGATGCTTCAGGTTCTGCTCCCAACTCTGCTACTGATTCACTCTGTCACCTTGGGCACATTACTTGCCAGCACGGTGTCTTGATTTGTTCATTTCTGAGATAGGTCTGAAAACACCTGTATCACTCATAAGTGTATTGTGATGTTAGTGTTGGCATGAAAGGTCCCAGACTGACAGCCCTAGAGACTGAGTTCTATGTTTAGTCACAGATGGCATGGGTAGTGGTAGGACAAGCTGCCTTGACTTTGGGCCTCAGCTCTGATCTGGAGAGGACAAGGCAGCCTTCATGGCCCATTTAACTCATGGCTTGACCACTGGGAATGGCAACAAGGAGAAGGAGACACAAGAGAGCTACTTAAAATCATGTGGATTAAATTTAGATTGGAACCTTTACCGACTTGCCTAAACTGTGGTCCTCTCCTTGCCTCCCACTGTCTCTTCCTTTTAACCCTCTCTCTGCCCTCTTCTATCCCTCCCTCACTCTTCCCTCTCAATTTGTTTTAACAGATCGTTCTTTATTGGCAGGACTTGCAGGATCTGTGCAGGGGGGAGGGTGGCTGGCTCAGAACAATAATTTTGCTACAAGCTGATTCCTCTTTAATCCCTTTCCTCCGCTTTCCTCTCCACCTCTAGGAAGGGTGCCCCAAAAATTCACACAGCCAGCATGGTGCAGAAAGAGGCTCATTACTCTTTCCATTGCCTTTTATCTCCCACCTCCCCTCATCCCAGTGGCCTCGCATCGCTGCAGACGCTCTAGTCTGCGGGAGATCAGAATGCACGGGGCCCTGCTTAGCCCTTCCATGAGATTCAAAGTGACGCATCACTGCTGGCAGAGTCACTCTGAGCTCCCTGTGATCAGTTAATTAGCTTTCTGCGCTATTATTATGTCGTCATGGTGAATCTACCCACTCTTCCGAGAGACGGGAGAATGGCGGCAGCTGTAATTAGAGGCAATGTCATTAGAAACTGCTTCATCTAATCAGGCTTTCCCGCACCTCTCCTACCATTCAACTTCGTTGCCACAAAGCAGGCCAAGGACAATACAGGCCACGGTGTGCCACGGCAAGGCAAGATGGTGTAATTCATACACTGCTGCTTGCTGCATGTAAGTTGCAGCTCGTCTGCTGTAATTAGAACATGCAGACAATTTAAAGTGAGGGCAGGATTTTACAGGTCAGTATCTGCAGGTGGCCTGAAAATAATCATATATTGAAGGGATTAATTCTGCCCTTGAATGCACACATGCCAGCTCCTCTGATTTCAAATGCAGGATGCAGTCTGGCCCTGCGCTTGAGCAGAAGAGGAATCAGGGCCTGCTGACCTGGGAGTGGGGAGGAAGCACAGGGGCAGTTGCCCCAGAGCCTGGCGACTCAAAAGGGCCTGTGGCTCCCCTCTGCGCTGCTGCTGCTACTGCAGAAGTGGTGGCAGCCAGATGCGCAGCATGCCCCAGAGGTTCTGGGGGCTGTGGGCAGGGGTGGGGGAGAAGGGGGCATCGGCAGTGCTGAGGGCTGTCCCTTCTGCCTGAGGTCCCGCGCCTTCTGGGGGTGTGGAGCCAGGCTCCCCGGCACCTTCTCCAGTGGTCTGGCAAGTCTGTGACCCCCCTGAGAGGAACGGGTGATACATAAATTGTAATGTTAGTAGCTGGCAGCCTCAGGGAGCACGGGGGCAGAGTCAGACACAGTCCCTTGCTCTTGTGTTCCTCAGCATTTCATAATATGATGTATCCCTGATTCGCCCATTCACTGCCCCTGAAGGGGCAATGGGCTGGAACCGGGACTAGACATGAGTTGTCTGGTGCATGGAGGATTACTGCATAAAACTCTCCTCACTGCATGCAGAAGGGACACTACTCCACAGACCTGGCGGCGTGGATGAGCTCCTTCAGCACGATTTCCTCACCCCAGACAGTGCATGCTCCTGAAAGAACAGAGTCTTCTTCCCTCCCTTCCCATCCCCTGCAAACTTACACACCCTGGGTGGAATGTTCACAAGCATCTGTGTTGGACTGTCCCTACTCCTAGTGTGGTTGTTCAGGCTAACGTTGGGTGCTTCTGAAAGTCCTACCTGTGCTGTCCAAGAGATATGGAGTGCCTCTCCCTCTCAAGTGCACAGATATGCATGTATGCTAGGCTGTCATGGATGCACAAGCCTGCTGTTGTAGTATGGAACGTGTGGTATGTTTGCCCAGGACTACCTCAGGAGAGACTGGCTTGAGGACTATTCAAAGGGATTTACCAATTGCTGTGAGGTTGGTTTGGGATTTTTGGGACATCATTTTAATATGCAAATCATGTAAGGGGATAAAAAGAACAAACATAGAAGCAATTCGCTGCCATCGCAGATTCAGTCACTCTCCTGGATCAGATGACATAATGGGATTAATGAGAAGAAAGGAGTTTGCAGCTGAAACGGTTGAGAAGTTGCACTGGGGTGGTGGAAGGGATCACATCATACACACGCTCTGCTCCTTCTTACCCATAGAATTCGCAGGTCTGGTTTCCCAGGAACACAGACACACTGCTGCCGGCACCCAGGTAGTGACCACTGATGGTCACCATGGTCCCTCCTGACTCCGGGCCGCGGCTGGGGCTCAGGGAGATCACAGCTGGATTCTTGAGAAGGAAAGGAAAGAAAAAGGTCATTGATTTTGTCTACTAGGAGCCAGAGTTTCCTGGGATCAAGTCAGGATCAGCTTGTGTCTGAGGGAACACTGAGACACAGCAGAGAGAGCCTCCTCCATTCTCACTTCCGAGATCTGGTACCCTGAGCTGCTGGGAGTAAAACTCACCTCAGCATCTGCAACCCAATTCTGCTGCTACATCCTAACAAGTCTCAACCCCAAAGGCTTATCACTCAGCTACATATGGGTATCTTTCCTCACAGAAAACCAGCAAAAGGCAACCTCCCTCACAAGACAACCTTTTTGCCAAATTTCAAGTCTATTTTTTTTGCCAATTTTTTCAAGTCTTAGAATGGGAAGTGTTGGGTAACCTTAACTATTTTTCAGCACTATCAGCGCTGCCCATAATACACGCAAACCAACAACAATATTGGGTGGAGGGTTGGATAATGGAAGGAATTGTTAGGGCATCCCAGGGAATTGACAGTCTTATATTCCTTTGACATCATGCCAGTGGTTTTTATTGTAACAATGCCAGTTTTTATACTGGCTTACATCAGTGATGGCTATTTATTCCTTTTAAGACAATCTGCAGAAAGCAGGTGCCTATTTGTTTTCAATCAGAGGATATAACCAAATTGGTTTACTAATGCTTATGCTTAGAAGTACCGAAAGAACCACCAGAATGGATTAGACCATCTGAGTCAGTATTCTGACAATGGTTGGCAGCAGATGGTTCTGGGAAGCACAAGGCACCTCAGAATGGACCAATATGGAATAACCTGTTGAGAGCGGGGCAATGAAGATGATTAGGGGCCTGGTGCACATGACCTATGAGGAGAGGCTGAGGGATTTGGGCTTCTTTAGTTTGCAGAAGAGAAGAGTGAGGGGGGATTCGATCGCACCCTTTAACTCGCTGAAGGGGGGTTCCAAAGAGGATGGAAAGAGGCTGATCTCAGTGGTGACAGATGGCAGAATAAGGATCAATGGTCTCAAGTTACAGTGGGGGAGATCTAGGCTGGATATTATGGAAAACTATTTCCCTAGGAGGGTGGGGAAGCACTGGAATGGGTTCCATAGGGAGAGGGTGGAATCTCCGTCCCTAGAGGTTTTTAAGTCTCAGCTTGACAAAGCCATGGCTGGCTTGATTTAATTGGGGTTGGTCCTGCTTTGGCCAGAGGGCTAGACTTGATGACATCCTGAGATCTTTTCCAGCCCTATCATTCTATGATTAAGCAGTTTGTGGCTGGCTCCTCTCTCTCACTCAATTTTTATCTTATCTAATGACAACACCAATACAGATTTGAATATTAAAAACAATGCTTATCAGTGAATTTTAAGTCTGAACCTCAGATACATCAAAAAAGCAGTGATTCAGGACCAAATAGACATGCGAGCAATTAAGCAATTGTATACATTTCCAACTTCAGAGTGGCTTTCAGTTAAATTCCCATGGACAGCTCCAGAACCTAACTGAGCTAACTGATCTGATGAAGTGGGTCTGGCCCATGAAAGCTCATCACCTAATAAACCCTCTTGTTAGTCTTTAAAGTGCTACATAGTCCTGTTTTTTGTTTTAACCGAGCTAATGTTTGAATGGCAAATTGATACGGACCTGTATAGATCCACAGTTCCCTGCTGATCCATGCCAAGATCAACTTCCTAGAACAATACATTAATAGTAGAATTAATTTGTCACTGGCTGATGAGAATTTCAATTATTGCAATTGGGGAATGATTACTACTAGATAAAGTAAGCACTCTGTGTTGGATTCATTCTGTTAAGCTTTTTAAGCGCTAAACCGTATTTAGATTACTTTCCTCAATTTCTCTGTTTTTATCTTTAAAATTCTCTTGATTAATAAAGCTTAAATTTAAGAACTCCTGAGTGTGTGCACTTTAGCTATTCAACTCCATGGGAAATTACTTATTCAGTGTGTGCTTTATATTCTGTCTTTGTGGTCACTTTTTTACGTATCTAAACCCTTTATGAATCCTGCTATGCACCTGACATCAGAGCATAGTGGCAATGAGTTGCACGAGATTACTGCATTATGTTAAAAAAAATTCCTTCCTTAGTTTTAAATTTGTCACCTTTAAATTGTATAGAGTGTTGCCTTGTTCAAGTATTACAGGACAGAGTACAAGGCATCTGATAAAATTCAAGAAGTTTCTAAGAGGTACCACCCTGAACAGTCTGGCTCTGCCCCCAAAATGTCATTCTCCTAAACACATGAAAAAGGGAAGGGCAAGTGGTAGGAATGTTAAAAAAAATAAATCCAATAACCTCCTTTTGGCCAAAATGCCAGATCTCACAAGAGGCAAGTAAATAAGATTTTCACATTTCTAGCTTGTATGATTCTATGTACATTATGGGAGATTAACAGATAGGCTCCACCTTTCCAGATAAAATGGACACCACTAAGGTGATAGCGTAGATCCTGCAGGATTATCAGACTTCGGATGAGCTCACTAAGGCATGAACACTCTCATGGTCAGAAAATAACTCTGCTTTAAAGATACCAAACAATTTTATTACTGCATTTAATGGAATTTGTAGCTGTGCTGTGGGATGGGATTAAAAGCCAAACATCAAAGGAAACTATGTACACTCAGGTTTTGATGGCTGAGGGGGAAAATGATAGTAAACGAAGTGCTGAAAACAAGGGACAACAATGCAAAGAGCAATATTGCTCAGCATTTGTTTAACAGGTTGCTGCAAGGTATTACTCCAAGATTAATCCTTGCAATTACTTTCAGCTGGGCTCTGGTTATTATTTAAACATAACTCACGAGTTCCTTCTGTGTGGCTATATAATTTTCCTTTAAGAAGTAGCCATTCTTCTACAAAGGAATTTCACTAACCAATGAGAAAGAGAGACTGAAGAACTGGAATTGACCTACAGATGTGACATGGACACCCTGGGCTTGAATAAAGACATTGACTGGTTGGTGCACTACAAAGCCAATTTCTCCTGTCTTTAACATCTGCATTTTCACATCAAAAGCTATGAATGGGACACATCCAGCTCACTCAATTAGCCCCATTAACACAGGTCCTACAATTAACAGGTATTTCTGCTGTTATATATATATCTTGGTTAATGTTATTTCCACTCCAACTCATCTGATGAAGTGGGTTTTACCTGCGAAAGCTCATGATTCTATGTATTTTGTTTAGTCTCAAATGTGGCACAGAACGACTCATCTGTAAAGTTTGAGACTAACACAGCTACCCCTGTTGGACCGTTAAGAACTGGCAGTCTAAGAAAGACCAATAAGAGACCAATTGCCTAGGAGTGGGATCTGCATAGGCATGGAGAAAGGGACACAGAGCTTTTCATTTGAAGGCTGCCAAATCATCCAGCCAAGATCCCTAATGTGCAACGCTATTACTCTTTGGTGATTGATAGTGGACTGTGGTCTGGTGTCCCCATCACAGCAACTCCTGCCACACTGGGTAGTAAGTGAGACCTCTAGCAGTCACAGGAGAGAGGCCCAAGATTCAGTGGGTAGCGGAGACTGAACTTCTCAGCATTACAACTTTTGCCCCAGGGGTGAGCCACAGTGTTGGGTAGGGTTGTGTTGGTGCATCGTATGTTACAAGTGTCCTGTGCATAAACATTACAGTATGCTTAGCTGAGCAGAGCGGTCGGCTTGGCCCCCTTCATTAGCAGCATCACAAAACGCAATCATACCTCATCATGGGCAATGTGTTCAAAGCCCGTCTTTATTCAGTAACAGGCTTATGCATGAGCTTTGATTTTTAACACATGGTGAAACATTTTGCTGAACTGGAGACTTGAATTCAAGTTTCTCAGCCCATAAAATAGAGGATTTAAAATTAGCTTCTTTTGATAGCATGAAACTCTGCTTTTATTTTTATTTCTCCACTCTCATCTGAGGAAGTGGGTTGCACCCACGAAAGCTCATGATACTATATATGTTAGCCTCTAAGGTGCTACAGGACTACTGTTTTTTTTTGTAAAGTTACAGACTAACACGGCTAACCCCGGAGACAACCCTTAAAGAAGCCTCTTGTGTCTTTAAAGTCGGTAAAAATGGAATTATGAGTTTTAATTAACATTTGTAAGATGTTTTGAGTCCCTCAAGTAATAGGTGCTACAGGACTGTAGCAGACAGCCCTTCTCCTCATTGTCTTCTCTGGTTACGCTGACGTTCAAACTCTCTCCTGCAGCAGGCTGGTGACATATAATTATTTTACACCACTGCAACGTCATTGAATAAATAAAATCCCAGGGCAAGGTGACGCTCATAACACTAAGAGATGGCAGGGTCTGGCCTCATTTATCTATCAATTAGATTACAAATTATGGCCAATTGGTAAGTGCTAGCATTTCGCTGCACGCACAGATTCCACTCAGCATAAAATCAATGTGGTTGGATAAAGTGCCCTGCGAAGGCAAAAATGGAGATACGAAAAACCCCAGCTGCGTCTTGCAAGTTTATGAATCAAAAGGCTGCTAATTAAATAAAGGAGAGAGGCAATGATCACTCAACCAGCAGAAATCCACTATCCCAAAAAGTAGTTCTTGATTAAGTATATGGATGGAATTGACACTGAATTAGCAACCTTAGGGGAAGTACTGGAATGCAAAAGTACTCCCTTCCCCAAATAGGCTGCAGGAGACATTTAAACAGGTAGAGATAGACAGGAAGTCAGATATACAGAGTATTTGCATGTGAATAATAAAAAGTGGCTTCACCAAGCCTTCAGTATCTTAGTTTGATACAATAGAGAGCAGCAAAAAGCAGCACAATAGATTTATCCCAGTAAGTACGTCCAAAAGTAAAGTGTCTTCATTATTCTTCCCTTCCCTCACAAGAGGACTGTTGTGAGCAATATGACAGCCATTCCATGGCAGGAGAGCGACTAGCTACAGGCTGAGCACACCTTAACATGGTGCATCTGAAGGTACTTTACAAACAGGACCTAACTGGGCTT